ATGCCAGGTTGGCCAAGGAAAGGGAACAGTTCAGGCTGGCAAGATTGGCCAAGGACAAGGAGGAGGCCGAACAGATGAGATCGGCCAAGGACAAGAGCGACCGTGAGACAGTCAGGCTGGCCAAGGAAAAGGAAGACGCTGATAAAGCCAAGGTGGAGGCCGTGCGACTTGTAAGAAACTAAGAAACCTTAACCCCTAAACCATAAGTATAAACCCCATAACCTAGAACCTCAACATTAAACCCGAAGCCTTTGCTCCCTAAATTTTATACAACCCTAAACCCCAAAGCCTAAATCCGCCACTACAGCCCTAAACCCCAAAGCCTAAATCCGCCACTGTCAGGTCGACATGGCAACACAGGCGGCAAAAAAATACCAGGCTTTGCCGATGAACGCGACAAAGTTGCAAAAGCTACAGCTCTTGCAGGACATTATGGCTACTGGGGATGAGGGTTGCAAGCAGTTCTGCAAGGATGAGCTTGCAAAACTGATCAAGCCGAAGGCAGCAACGCCAGCTCCGGCCCCTACCAGTGATGCCGATCCTCCGGCCCCTACCACAACGGGTGCCGATCCTCCGGCCCCTACCACCAGGGGTGCCGATCCTCCGGCCGCTACCACCAGGGGTGCCGATCCTCCGGCCCCTACCACCAGGGGTGCCGTTCCTCCGGCCCCTAATGCCCCGACCTTTGATGATGTCAGTGCGAAGATGGGTTGGTCAAGTCCTGCAACCCCACGCATGGTGGAGGCACCTGGTACGCCATCTCCTGCAACGCCTGGCAGTGCAATCACAACGCCTGGCAGTGCAAAAACAACGCCTGGCAGTGCAAGCGACGGCTTGGTCCAAGGTTCTGCGCCACTCTACAACCGAAAGAACGCCGCCATGTTCTTGAATCGCCTGAAAGGCAACCCAAAGAGGATGCAAGCCTTGCCTGATGACTTGGCAAAGTTGGTGCGGGACGAAGATTCAAAGAGCAAAGCCATCGACTTGATCGTCGCTGCAGGAGGAGACGAAAATGAGCTGGTCGGGCAGTGGACTGCATCGTCCATTTCTGTGGGGACGGACAAGGAAAAGGGAAAGATGAAACCTTTGACGGAACAGGAATTGATCGGCAAGTACGGTGCGGTCAATGCTGCGAAGGTGATGGAGGAAAAAAGGAAGGCTGGTTTGGAGGTTGATGATCCCAATTGTAAAGGGCTCAAGCTTTACTTGCACAACGAGTGGCAGAGGGAATGGACGAGAGGCACAGAAGAACGTTTCTTGCTTGCATTCATACATCGTGCATGCAGTTATGTTCGACTTCAACATTTATGTAGCATTCGTGCATTCATGCGAACGGAATCCGAGGAAGCAGTTTCACTGCTTCCGGAGAAGTTCGTGCGGGTGACGCTGCCAACGTTGCACAAATTCTCAGTGTGCCCCGGCGGGCGCTGACAGGGCCCGGCCAGGATGATGAGGACAATGTGGACATGGAGGAGGACCCAAAGCCACTTCCGAACAAAAAACCAAAGAAAGCCAGGAAAAATGAAGCCAGCGGCAAAGAGAAAGACGAAGACGGTGAAACTGAGCCGGAAGCACCACGAGTGGAGAAACTTACACCGCTGGACAAGGCGGCAGACTTAAGGGGGCGGGCCCTCTCGAAGGCCAACCACGCTGGCTCGATGCGGAAGCAGTTGAAAGGAGTCAGCTATGCGACTGAATGCCTCAAGGAGATGACCAACTTCGAGCAGGAGTTCCAGTGCCTTGGCTGCATTGATACCTACTAGATTGTTTTATGAGCCTCTGCCCCACAGGGCAGGCTACCCTGGTCTAGCCATATGAACAAGAAGTCTTGACAGACGCTCATGTGGCCCCAACCCAGTACTATACGGCCAAGGGCGATCTACGACCAGGTGGACAAGCTCATCTCTGAGCTGGTCCACGATGATGGGGTCTATCTTCCCATTGCTACCAGATATCTCGATATCGCGAAGCGTTATGAGAGGCCCAGCAAGGTAGCAAACAGCTTGATCCGAGCTGCGAAGGCGACTCCGAAGGATCCAACCGCGCCCAAAGGATCGGCTAAAGCCAAGTCCAAGAAGCGCAAAGCCGCGGAGGGAGCCTAGAAAGAATCTTGGCACCCGGGGTCGGTGCTCAGATGGGCATGTCGTGCTGTTCACGTATATTAGAATATATTAGAATACTGCAAGGTTACTGGTAACAGATCCATCTGGATTTTGCACATCTCATTTTCTTCCAGTGTCCGACACTGATAACGTACAGTTGGTGTAGGGTCCTCGCCCAAGGGCTCGAGGACCCAAGCCAGTGTGAAAGAAATTCCGTGCTGCTTTGCACAAGATGCTCTCGACTTTCACAATCCTTGGGGAATCGATCGTCGCTCTGGTGCCAAAAATTGCTTGCTGCAGATGCCCTGACGGGGTTTCACGTGATGGGGTGGAAGGAATGAAAAACATTGTTGCCAGGTACGTGCCCTTGACAGAGTCTGGTCGGCCTGCCTTTACGACACGTCGTCGTGGGATGCTGCTGGGACCGCAATATATGCAATAAGCATAAACACGCCACTGGAGCAAGGACCGCAGATGACTTTGACTCCGCTGGTGCAGCTTTACTGGCCCAGCGCATGGGTGCTGGAGACTCTTGACTTGGATGTATCCAAGCACGTCAGCTATATAGTCCGTGTGCAACACTCTTGGACCTTGCAGCCAGAACACACATTCTGAGGCGATACCTGTGGCCGAAACAAGCAGAATAGCATCTGCCTTCCGGCGAGATGGGGCATCTGGACTTGCCCTTTCACAAATGGCAAGCAGCGAACGGGAGAGGGATTTCTTCCGCTGGATGAAGTTACCCATCCAGCCCCTGCTGGTGGATTTGCCTGTGTGGAGCAACACCAAAGAACGCAAGGACAAACAACTGATATTTGAGAAAACAGCTTTCTGTCTTCCCAGTGATGTTCTCTGCGAGCTTTGCAAAAGATCACTGGTGGAAACCTGTCTTATTGGACATTCGCACCTCGGCACGCGCCTGATTGCTTGGTTCATTGTTGGTGCATGTATTGCTCATGGACGCACATTTCCTGCTTTGATATCTCAGGTCAGTAGATGAATGGTGGAAGCAAGAACGGGACCAGGTTTACATACGGGAGATCTCCCGGAACAATCCCAACTACCAGGACATGCTTCCATTACGCTTTCATGAGGATGGTGTACCAACAACTAAGAGCGAAACATGCAACTTCTGGTCTTGGACCACGCCTTTGGCTAGCCGCGGAAGCGAGATCTCTCGCTTCTGTCCCTCGGAAATTTTCGATTAGCAATATTCTTTTAGTTGGACAACAGAGCTAGCTGACCATATACATATATATATATGTATATGATGGACAACAACAATTAAAGGCATTGTTGGTGTCACGAACAGTCGTGCCGCGCCCGAAACGAGACGCTGCATCGCTGACATCATCGCTTGGGATCTTCGAGCACTGGAACGTGGCGTTTTTCCATCCTGCGACCACAACGACGTTCCGTGGCCAGCTGGCTCAGCGCGAGCCCAAAAGATTGGCCAAAACATTGGGATCCGAGCATGCTTCTCATATTGGGCTGGAGATATGGAAGCTCATGCAAAATCACACAATCTTCAGAGGCACTATAACAAGCCTTCGATATGCGATTGGTGTTGGGCATCGAGCCGGGACAAACAGCGGACTTTCACAGACTATTCTTCGTCAGCTCTGTGGCGCTCTACATGCAGCTACCATGAGCCGCTGCCACACCAAGAAGAACGATCTGTTTGGTGCTCAGTCAAGGGCTTCACCAAGCGCCGCCGCCTGTTTGACAGCCTCTAGGTCGCATTAACAGCATTCCTGGATGGCTTTTTTATGGCTTTTGGTTATGTAGTGCTCGAATACTGTAAGATGCACTGCTCAACCAAGTTATGCACCTCGCCCATCTGGGTTACATCCGGGACCTTGTGGCTTCCATTCTGGTTGAGACCGTGAGATCGGGCGAGATGGCAGCTTTCTTGCGATTCGATGGCAGCCCAGATCAGCTTCTTCACAGGTGGACTGCGGAAGCCCAAAGTTTCTGCAAGGATCGTGGCCTGGATTGCTCGATGAAGCCGCTGACGTGGGAAACTTTACATGCCAACAAGAAGGCTATCTACCCTGAGCTCACAAGCCGTATAAAAGCAAGTCGGACCAGAAACTTGCTGGCGTTTACCGCTTATTACTGCTGTCAACTGGAAATACTGGTGTCTGGTGACGCACCCTCAGACACGGTGCATTGGTCGAGGTGCAGGGCAACGATGGTATGGTGCTTGGATGCAGCATTGAGTGTTGGGGGAACTGGCAGTAAACCCTTTCTCAAGCCAGAGGAGATTATCGAATCACAATGGTGTTTCGATACGTTCCTTCTGAGTTATGCTCACGCTGCTGCACGATTTCATCGAAAAGGCCTCTGCTTGTACAAACTTCGGCCGAAGATGCATTACACGCAGCATTTGGTGGATGAGCTGCCCTGCCACAAGCTCAACTTTTACCATGCTGCGAATTTTTTGGACGAGGATCATATGAAGTTCCTCAAGATTGTTTCGGCCGGCTGCCACGTGACTTCTCAGCCTCGCACCTGGGCAAGACGTTACCTGACGAAACAAGTGTTTCTCTGGCAACGCTTGCCCGGGGCGACGGCGAAGAAGAAGCGCCGCGTCGCCGAAAAAAAAGAGGACGCCGCAGGTCTCTTAAGGGTTTTAGGGTTTAGGGTTTCCAAAGTTGGGGCATCAGGTTTGGGGGTTGAGGGTTTAGATTTCGGCTTAAGGAAGAACTTGCCACAATGCAACCAAACAACATTCCATAGTCCCGAAGCTTGCAAGTTTAGGTTCCAAGTTTGAAACCGCAAGGGCCAAGGCCTCCCCAAAAAAAGGGAGGATGCATTCACATATACACCCCTTAATACCGATATTCCCGAAACCTCTCTTGTTCCCAATCTAGTGCATGCATGGCCTCGGGTGGAGTTGCTCCCCCTTGGCCATCGGGTGGAGGTGCTCCCCCTCGCAACATCCGCCTTGATCCTAAACCCTGGCCAAAGCTTGCACAAACTCCAAATCAAAAGCCTGCAAACAAAAACTGGGTTCCACGCCTGAACTGTTCAAACCCATAACAAAGAATCCTGCATAATGCTGTCAAAAGCACCGAAAGCCAAACCGTGTTTGCAGAGGCTGAAGCCCCGAAAGCCAAGCAGTGTTTGCAGAAGCTGAAGCCCCGAAAGCCAAGCAGTGTTTGCAGAAACTGAAGCACCGAAAGCCAAGCTGTGTTTGCAGTCGCAGTGGCAGTTGTAGAATCTCGAGGAACGCTGGTTGTGCTTGGGACTGATTGCTTGAAGGCTTGCACCTGTTGGTCGGTTGTGTGCTTGGCTCTGAAGGCTTGCACCTGTTGGTCGGTTGTGTGCCTGGCTTGATGCATGTGTTGGATGGTGGTTGTGTGCCTGGCTTGATGCATGTGTTGGATGGTGGTTGTGTGCCTGGCTTGATGCATGTGCTGGAGTGTTGGTCGGTCGGTTGGTTGGTTGCGAGTGATTGCTTGAAGTGCCGCCCACCGTGAGTTGTAATGGCTGTTGGCGCCTCGCCACGCCGTACGTGTATATGTTTGATTGTGACAGCTGGTCAACAAAGACTCCTGCATAATATGCTTTCTACTAGTACTAGTACTACGAAAACCTACGCAGTGTAACAACCATAACCGGACCATAACCACTATACGTACCGTCCTGGATGCCAGGACTGCATAACCGCTATATTTACCGTCCTGGATGCCAGGACTGCAAAGATCTACTTGCAAAACTGATAAACTATTTATGTGCTGTGTATGCAGAAGCTGAAGCCCCGAAAGCCAAGCAGTGTTTGCAGAAGCTGAAGCACCGAAAGCCCAAGCAGTGTTTGCAGAAGCTGAAGCCCCGAAAGCCCAAGCAGTGTTTGCAGAAGCTGAAGCCCCGAAAGCCCAAGCAGTGTTTGCAGAAGCTGAAGCCCCGAAAGCCCAAGCAGTGTTTGCAGAAGCTGAAGCACCGAAAGCCCAAGCAGTGTTTGCAGTAGTAGTAGTAGTAGTAGTAGTAGTAGTAGTAGTAGTAGTAGTAGTAGTAGTAGTAGTAGTAGTAGTAGTAATAGTAGTAGTAGTAGTAGTAGTAGTAGTAGTAGTAGTAGTATGTGAAGGTTTGGCTGCTTTGCGCCACCCGTCCGGAGGCAGAGAACGGCCGTTGGCACCTCGCCACGCCACACAAATTCATTAACACCATGTTCGTACGGCCGTTGGCACCTCGCCACGCCACACAAATTCATTAACACCATGTTCGTACGGCCGTTGGCACCTCGCCACGCCACACAAATTCATTAACACCATGTTCGTACGGCCGTTGGCACCTCGCCACGCCACACAAATTCATTAACACCATGTTCGTACGGCCGTTGGCACCTTCACTAACCGCTGGGATCCCGAACCTTTGGATATATAACCGCTAGGATGTGAATTAACCGCTGGGATTAACCGCTGGGACAATTAACCGCGGGGATTAACCGCTGGGACAATTAACCGCTGGGATTAACCGCTGGGACTAACCGCTGGGACGATTAACCGCTGGAATTAACCGCTGGGATTAACCGCTGGGACAATTAACCGCTGGGATTAACCGCTGGGACAATTAACCGCTGGGATTAACCGCTGGGACAATAATTAACCGCTGGGACGATTAACCGCTGGAATTAACCGCTGGGATTAACCGCTGGGACAATTAACCGCTGGGATCATCAAATAACCGCTGGGATGTTGAAATAACCGCTGGGATGTTGAATTAACCGCTGGGATATCAAATAACCGCTGGGATGTTCGATTAACCGCTGGGAGCCCGGGATGGCCTACATCGGTTTGTGTTTAGGTCACGTCGGTTATTAACCGATGGGGGGCTGTCCAGGGGGGGCTGCTCCTTTACCTCTTGGTAGAGGAAGAGATCCCCTGACAGGTCCTCTGCTCCAACAACTCAGAAGAGAGGCCCGTGTAACTTTTCGAGCAAGAAGGGAGCTCTGTTTACCTCTCTGTCGACAAGAACAAGAGTCCTTTCTCTCTTAG